CTCAAATAAGAACCTTCACTGCACAACTGAGTTACACATGGATTCCCGAGAGGAGAGTACACGAGAGTGTTTTCCAAAGTATCACAGTGAAAAATGTGAAGTGCTGTATAAATATATTTCTGTTGCAACCTGAAATTTTCCCCAGTTGACAGTGGACACAAATGGGGGAATATTTGGAGTCCCAATTCAGGGTTCAATGGGGTGCCCCCACTAGTTGATGTGGTACACCCCTGTGTTCTCCCAATAAATATATCACACTTAAGAAAATTTACTAAAAAGTATTTCTGGAGCCTCCAGGAGGTGAATTACATGTTTACACACAAGTTTGCTCCCCTTGGGCACCAACGCTTTGTCTGGCATGCTGCCAGGGCACCGGGCTACTTGCCTTGTCAAAGCCAGGTAGAGCTTTGGGATGGAGGGAGCACTGTGCACTAGAGAATTCTCTTCTGTGAATATGTTCTTTATTAAATGAGACCCGAAATAGGGCTGTTTGAGGCCTGATGTTTTCATGGAAACAATGATCTGTGCTTTCACTTGTGGGCTGTTCTCATATCCTCTCTCCTCTCAGAGGTCAAAGCCTGTCCTGGGCTCCTCCCTCCTAGTTCTCCCACGAGGCTCCTCAGGCCAAGAAGGAATTCTGGTGGGTGCACCCCATCTGTTGTTCAGTCAGGTCCAGACCTTTTCATCTCACTTGACTCACGATGGAACACAGATACCCACCTCTCTCTCTCACTTCCTCCGTGGACTGTTCCCTGGCAAACTACTGTCCCCGTCCATCCCTCCCTTTTCTGGACTCCATATTCTGTAGGTACTAGACACTTTGAACACTTTTTAGTTTAATAGCTTAATTCTGTCTCCCAGACAGCACAATTCTAAGCTTACTTAGGGCAAGAATCTCCCATTAAAATCCTTGTGTCTTCTTCCACCACAGTAGCTGAAGGTTCAGTCAATATTTGCTTGATTGAATGTTACACACAAAGGTGGCTTCTCTTAGTTAATGAGAAACAACCTCCCTTCCCTCCAAAAATGGAGAAGAGCAGAATTCCAAACAAGGAACCACATTTTTCCAACTTCCCTCTCCCTTTGCTTAAACATGGAGGTGAAAACTCAGATTCAGGAAACAGAACAAAACAATATGTCAACCATTCAAAAGCTCTAATATGCCATATTTATTTGACTTCAGGAACTCCTTTATCACAAACCAAGCTTTGTGTGCATTTATCCTGTAGAGAATTGCTGTAGACAGCATTTTACACACTTAGATTCACCTGGGCTGGTTGCTGAGCAAGGGGCCAGTGCAACCAAGGTTGGGTGGCTGGCTCTCCCACCACCTCCTCGGGTTCCATTTAACACCTGCCCTCTACCTTCCAATTAATCATTGACTGATACGGCTGAAAGGAACACTACAAAATTTCCAGCAAAATATTCTGCCTGAATCATGTACAGTTTGTTCCTATTGACACCATTTTCCTTAACAATGAAGAGATTTTTTTTACCATCTTATCTGAGCGTCAATGGAATAATCAGAACATACTATGATCATTGAAAAATATGAAAATGTAGTCAGAATAAAAGACGTGTTTCACTAAATATTTATTTGGTATCTACTGCATGTGCTAAATACCCATTACATGTATCACAGAGAGCAATGACTTCATAAGCAGCGATTAAAAAGGTGGGGAATGACAAGTTCTAAATCTAACTTGTCAGATTTCTTTTACAGCAGCAATTTTCAACAGGCATGCCACAGCACACTGGTGCGCCACAAGAATGTTAAACCATGCAATACCTGACTGTTTAGTCAGGGGCACTGGCCTCTTTCCCCTCTTAGATTGTCAAAGAAAAATGTGACAACAGCCAATACAACAAGAGCTGCCTGCTGTGAACGAGTCAAAATTATACCCATTTTTTTGGTCAGATCGACAAAAATATAACATATATTTTTTAGTGGGCCAAAGAACTTTATTTATATTTTTGAGATTTTACTTTTTTTTCTTTTTTCTTTTTTTTTTAAGACAGAGGGAAAGACAGGGAGAAAGAGAGAGTTAGAGAAACATCTGGTCAGTTGTTCTCATAGGCACCCCAGCCAGGGACTGAACCAGGAATTCAACCAGTGATGCTTCACAGGGTGATACCCAACCCACTGAGCCCCACCAGTAGGGATGTGCTGCAGAATTTCTCTGATTAGTTTACGGGCGCCATGCGTTGAAAAAGATGGAAAATCCCTGTTTTAGAGGAAAAGAAACTGAGATCCCAAGAATTCGTTCTGCTTCAAGCCATGAAAACATTAGAGGCAGAGTTAGAATTAGAGCTCCAGGGAAACAGAAATAATGAAAACAAGCCTAAAGATATTGCACAACCATAGATCTGAAGCATATTTGGAAATTGTCCAATTTAAAAGAATGCTATGTTAGTAATCTTCATTTAACTAGTCACTTTTTCTCCTATCTTTTAAATTTTTATATTATCAGTTTTTATTGGCGTCTTGGTTTTTACTAGACTCATTCGAAAGTTTTCTTTTTTGTTTTTGTTTTTTCTTTTTGAGGCAGAATCCTTTACTAAAGTTAACATCCCCAAAGAAACCAGATGAATTAAAACTGGAGCCCACACCAGACTAAAAGATTTAACTTTCTGTGACCTGCAGAAAAATGATAGGAATTTTCATTATTATAAGGTTTCTAAATTATAAAAGTAGTGGATTATTAGAGAAAGTTTAGGGCAGGAGTGGGGGAGAAAGGATGTATCACCCATAGGCATCCAGCGCATACCACTGTGGCATAAAAAGTATTTTTAGCAGAAGGCATTTGAGGTTCCAGAGAGAGTCAATTGTCATTAAGTCCCTCCCGGGGAGCAATCTGGGAAGACTGGTTCTTTACACCACACCTAAACAGACATGGCACACAAACTTGCATATCTATTTTCTCCTGAATTTTTGTTAAAGATTTTATTCATTTCTGTATTTATTTATTTATGTATTTATATATGTATTTATTTTAGAGAGAGAGAGGAAGAGAGGGAGAAAGTGAGGGAGAGAAACATTAATGTGAGAGAGAAACATCAACTGGTTGCCTTTCGTTTGCACCCCCGACTTGGGACTGAACCTGGAACCCAGGCATGTACCCTGATCGGGAATTGAACTGGTGACCTTTTGCTTTGTGGGTTGAAGCCCAACCAACTGAGCCACACTATTCAGGGCTATTCTCTTCTTATTAAAAAGTCATTAGTTTTCCCATAAACACCCTTTCTCCCCCTCTTTTCTTCTTAATGAGTCATTTGTATTCCTTTAAGTGCCCTTTTCTACCTTCTTTTCTGCCATTCAGATGGTTTATAAGCCCCAAATTCTAACTCCCTTTGAGTCACATTTTTCTGTGAACTCCTCTATGGACATTAATAAACATGTGACTAAATGTGTGTGTTTTTCTCACTAATTTGTCTTTTGTCAGTTTAATTCACAGGACCTCCGGGACTGCACTAAGAGGGCAGAGGAAGTTTTTCCTGCCCTTGGCCTTCCCCCCACACGGTCAAGTCACCCTCAGCGCATCATCAGCCAAACACACTGTTTCCCGTTGTGCGTATTTTCTACACTGTTTTCGACTGTATTTACTTTTTATGTTATTATAATCATTATTAACATTAGAAGCACCCATCTGCGATGCTACACAACCCTCTAAATTATGATTTCCTAATGACTGCAAACCACTTCATTGAGATGACAAATAATGAACTCCTTAACTAGCCTCCTGCTGTTGGGCATTTAGATTGTTGCTGATTCTTTCGATGTATTACTTCCACAAGCTAGCTCCAAGTGCCATGGCCTTCGGAGAGGGGATGTTAAACATTAAATATCCATCTCGGGGAGATGACACTTAGTGGTCAAGTAACATAGGAAATGTCTGACATTTGTTTGTGAACTAAACAAGTCTCAGGTAAAATCATACATAACGGCCATAGAAAAAAAACAAAACAAAAGCCATCTTGTGTCTGGAAGATGGGCAGACATGATGAGAAGTATTCGGTAAGAGGAATTACTTGAACTAGGTCATTTGAGACCCAGAGAAAGGTCCCTTGGACTTTTTTTTCCCCCACAAAACAGACAAAAATATAATAGTGGATTAATTTAGCATCAAGTTTGTGGAAGCTTAGGTGGATGAGTTTGCTTTAAGTGCAAAGGGTCAATTTCAGAGAGTAATTGCTGATGAAAGTCCCGTTATCAAACCTTCATTTGGTTTTCATTAGCTTTTATTGGCAGGAAATGCTAAACTATTAGACGAAAAGCAATTGTTGCTCGCAGTTATCTGACTACCATTGGCACAATTGAGTTAGCTGAACCTTTCCGCTCAGCTTCTTCCCTGCCTTGAGCCATTTGTGCTTCATTAGGAGGGCCCAGGTACCAACTCTGCGGACAGGCAATTGATTAGGAGATTTCAAAGAGCAACCACAAAGAAATGTTTGTTTTGAAGAACCACAAGCTATTCATCTTTAAAAAAGAGAAGAGGTGGGAAAAGCAACCAAACTACATTACAACTCAATTTAGAACTTTTTCTTACTTTGTAATCTAAGGAGGGCAAAATCAATTTTCATCTCCGAGTACCATTTTCTCCTATTAGATTTCTCTACAGTGGGCTTTGCACAAATGATACTTGATTATTTCTGAGTCACTGCTGCTTAAAATCCACACTTATGAGCCATCATTTTCTAGGTAAAAGCAAGGAAATTACAAAAAGTTCTTTGTGCCCTTATGTTCTCTTCCAGTGTTTTCGATTTAATCAGCAGCTGCAGCAAAGCCTGCGATGATCTTCCCTCGACACTTTTGACAGGACCAAAAATATGAAGCTTCACATAGACTACTTTTCATAAACTACCAGGAGTCCTTTTTCTCTTTGGCCAGCTGGTAGTTAGTCAAAATATGATATGGTTTGGGAAATAAATTGTCTGCAGAGATCCTCCTCAGGTCAGTTGCAAATGTATCAGTTTGAGAGAAACAAACAAGAAGCACTTACCAGTTCATTTTCTGTGAGGAGAGAAGCTATTGGGATGCCTGGGTGTGACCTCCCCGCTGCAGTGCAGTACGAAATGGAGGGTGGTTTTCACAAAGCTACGCTGTGCACTCTTTTTCCCTGTTTCCTCATTTGGCTTTTATCTGGCTTTTGAAATGACACTGTAGAGGAAAATGATGTTGGGTTTCATTTGAATGTGGTTCTTCCCTTGCTACACCACCCTCCATAAAAAATGCATCATTTATTCTAGGAGAAAGTAAGCAAGGAGCATATTGCACACATTATTTCTTTTGCTCAGCATGTTTGTCTGTGTGTAGCTGAGATTTGGTTTTTTGAATGGAAATCATGGCTGTTGGCTGCAGTGCCGCAGGCTGAAAAGCAATGATGGGGGAGGCACCCATTCCTCCTTTGTTTGGGTGGGCTTTTGCTTATGAAACAGTCAAGTTAAATTTCATTCCAACCATGGAATGAAAAGAACCTTAGAAATGCCAAAGGAGAGCCCTTCAAATGCACTGGCTTTTAGTGCATTTCTGACAGTGAAGACTTGGAATCACATTATTAGAGGATGCATTTTAGTTTTATTTCTTTACTGAGGCAGGTTTTGAGAGGCAACTTTCCAGACTCAGAGGAAATTAAAGGTTGGATTTTTATCTCTTATCTCACCTGTGGGCCTGGCAGATACGGGCTCGTCTGTGTATCTGAAGCAGGACTCATAATTCAGAAATTCGCAGAGACAGAGTTGTGGAGGCTGAAGGGAAGCAACCCTTGATGTGTTTAGCTTCCCTCTGCAGGACTAACTTGATTATTCCGGGAAGGTCTAACATCAGCTTGACTGTGTGATATTGGAAATCGAACGTTATTAGGTCCTGAAACCTTGTCAGGCTGCCTAATTGAACGCTGTTCGAGGAGCACACGGTTTGGGATCTGACCGCTGTGAGAGACTACTGGGGAGTATCGTGTGCCTCCCCAAAATATGCCTCTCCGGCCTAAGGATTATTTTGAGCTGAGTATTATTTTTTTTGAAAGCTGCAGACACAGAAGCAGCTCTGCAACAGAGTAGAAGTTGCCCTTTTGTAAGGGAAATCTACATCTATGAAAGAAATTTACATTAGAAAGGGGCCTGCCTCTGGGGAGGAGGGCTACTACTGGAGATCTTGTTTTCACCTGAGGGGCTCATCTGGCCATCAGGGCAAGCTTTGTTTTCCAGACATTTCCTCTTCTTGAGTTGCGTGCTGCTCTTGAAATCCCAGGCCCCTATCCCTTTCCTTTGCTGAGGATCCTCTATAATCCTCAGTCTTCTGGCCACCATTTAAGGCTCCTGAATGTACATAATTAAAATTGCTTTTCCTCCTGTCCGGTTAGTGTCTTTTTACACGGGGTCTTAGCCCAGGACAATGAAAGGCAGAAAGAAAATTCTTTTTCCTCCCCTCCAAGACCAAGTCAAGAAAATTTAAAGGGGTATTCTCTCTGTAGGGAGTAAGGGTAGGGTGGGAGCAAACTGGAAGAACCTCGGGGGATGGGGTAGGGTAAGCTTTTTCAGACTACAAATACCTCTTGTCCTGTAAGGACGTACACTCTCCCACTGGCCCCTAGTCCCCTGAGTCCACGGAAGTAACCGCTATTCATAGTCTTGGCACATTTCTCAGTATGATCCCAGCATAGACGGGTTCAGTGAAGGAGGTAGCAAGTAGAAGAGCTCTCTGCTGAAGACTCCTATCTACTTGCCAGTTCCCATGGCTTTGCATCAGCAACGTTACTATTTATTAATAGTTTTATGTTATTTTCTGTAACCACACAAAAGCACAATTTTATCCACAAAAGACACTTCAAGGACAATTTTTGACTTTTAGTTAATTTACATGTTTGGGGGTTTTGGGTTTTTTTGAAAGTATATAAGGCTGGGCTAGAGGACAATGAAACAAGGAAGGCCTTAGGATAGAAGACATGGCAGGAAAGCAACAAGGGGACTGCTCACTGAGAAGTCAAGAGAAAGGGCCTTGGAGACGGGCTCAGGGGGTTGGCCCAGGATGAACTGCCGCTGTCCATTGATCCCCTGGTTACAAGCCTCATGGGGACCCTTCGAGTTTAGAATATGCGCGCCTGAGAGGTGAGAAAGGCATGGTGTGCTACTGGGAACAAGACTCTGCCTTTTTTTATATAGTTTGGAGGGGTTTTTTTGGTAATAGAACTGGAAGCATTGAGAGGCAAAGTGATACAGGGTGCAGCGGGGGGGGGGAGCCAAAAAAAAGATTTGGAATGGTGTCCAGAATTCAAAGTGTATAAAAATATTGGAGAGACATATAAGATGTCCTCACCCCCCCGCCCACCAGGGGGAAGAGACAAATAGAGCCAGGACCATTGAGAGCTGTTTTGCATAGCAACAGTTTTGCAGCTAACCTCTGGAATGATTATTTAACATATCTATAACCTTTAACTGGTTTCATAGATATGTTAAATAGCTGTGGCCAAGTTTTGAGCCAGGGAGAAGGGAGTGGCTTCTACACAAGATGTAACTAAGGGCTGCGCTCCGGAGTGAGAGCACCTGCTGGAGAGTTTGGAAAAGATGGGCTCCAGGACATGAGGGGAGAAATGCCCAGGTGAGGAGAGGGCCATGCAGTTTTGAGCAGAGTGAAAGAGTACCACTCAGCTTTGCCAGAATGGGGAACCCTGCAGCCAGATGAAAGGGATAGCCACGCGGTTTCAGCAGAGTGCGGACCCCCTCTTTCCCAGGTGAAAGGGAAAACCATGCGGCTTTGCCAGAATGGAGATCCCTGCAGCCAGGTGAAGAAGAAAGACACGTGCTTTTGGTGGAGTGTGGACCCCTGCAGCTTTTGTAGAAGGGGCCCACGCACCTTTGGGGTGCCCCCTTTGGCTGCATGGCCTGGAAAGCAGAGACTTTGACTGGAACTTGGTACAAAGAACTCTTGCCAGTGGACCGTGAGAAGGTGCCGCATGACTTTGGATTAATTGGAGATCCTGCCTGGACAGCGACATAGCTGACGGGACCAGCAGCCTAGAAAAACGGGCCTGTGCTCTTTTCCTGATTTACGGGACCCGGAGTTGGGACAGGGGGAGAAGGGACTGCTGACACACATACACACAGCGCTCCCTATACACACACCTTTAGGGTGTATACCCTAAAGGACTTTGATATTTTAGTGGAGGCATGAGGCCTAAATAGCATTAAATAAATATTTTTGTTTCCTTTTCACAAATCTCTGGCATTGAGAGATGTCTTTCCAGTTGGCAGCGGACAGAAGAGCCCAGTAGATACTAGTATTCTGTCCTGGGGGGGGCCCTGTTCTGTAACAGTTTTTGGCATCCCTAGGTGGGCCAGATATTGCCCCCCCCCCAGACCTCTTGTTCGGTAACAAAAGGACAGAAAAAGGCGAGAAATGACACTGTACAAGGATTTACCATGCACGAAGGAAAGTTTAAGCACACTACACACTGAAACTCAAGAAACTGCATACATTTTTATGTTTTAGCTACTTCCTAAAATAATAGGATTGAAACATAGGATTACTTAACTTTGAAAGTACTCCCCCCCAAAACTAGTAAATTTGTAGGAGGGTACAGCCAGGGGCCCCCCAAAAGAAGAATTTGCAATGGGGTCCAGAACTCAGGGTGTCCAGGAAATATTAAAGAATATGGGATATCCTCACCCCCACAAGTCTGAGCTGAGGGGATGGGGTACATGGAGCAAGGCCATTGAGTTGTTTTGCATAGCTACAGTTTCACAGATAACCTCTAGAATGGTCATTTAACATATCTATAACCTTTCACTGGTTTCATAGATATGTTAAATAGCTGTGGCCATGCTTTGAGCCAAGGAGAAGGGAGCGATTTCCACTCAAGATGTAACTGGGAGGCAACTCTTCAGCCCCTGTTACAGCGCCTGCGTGAGAGCTTGGAGATGACTGGCTCCACGCCATGGGGCCACACCTGCCCAGATTCACAATGGCAGCCCAGTAAAGTTGGGAGGCTATGGGAGGCCTGGAGGGTGTAGCCGATTGTGAGAGGAGTCGGAAATGGGGCTGCAAAGGAGGACTGGCACTGGGATTTAAATGCAGACGCCACAGCCATTGAAGAGAGAACTACGCACTTTTGGCCTGAATGGGGACTCACAGCCATGTGAGAAACATCATGTAGCTTTAGCAGAGAATCACCACGCGGCTTACTATTTCTTTTCCTGAGATACGGTACCTTGGGCTGGGCAAAGGGGGAAAGAAGGAATGTGTGTGTTTGTGGGTGTTTGAAGGAACTTTGGGGTTTTGATGAAGACATTAAGTCATTACTCTCAAGTCTGTATAACTTGAATAAATAATTCCTTCCCTTTTCACCAATCTCTAACATGGAGACCTATAATTCTCTGGCAAAGGAAAAGGCGAACCTAGTACAGGGAGACCCCAGGAGAAGGGGGGTCAACTAGGTAAGAGTGTGGGATCCTTTTCCCTGGTGGCCAAACCAGGAAAACCATAGGAGACCCCATGTGCAGTAGCTTTAAAATAATACAACTACTTGTACATGTACAGTAAAAGCCTGCCAAAACTAGTCAGGAAGGGTCTGCCCTATAAGAATAGAATCCCTCCAGCCCATGAGGTCAATCTCTGCTTGGAGTTGGCCTGCTTCCATGTTCTCAGCTATAAACTCTGGGTGTTCAGCTCAAATCTTTGTCCTGATCACCAAGAACCTGGTTACCTGTACCCACCTGTGACAAAAGTGCATAAAATCTCTTGGCTGTGCATTTGAGGAGCTCCCCTAAGATATATACATACTGGTATATGTATATCTCACATCTGATCACATTATTCAAAGGTAGTTGAAGCTGAAGCGCTCAGAAGTGCCAGAGATAACTCACGTGCGTGCTGGGGATGCCAGGGATGCAATGTACTTCAGCCAGGCTGTTGGGTGGTGCCTTGGTTAGGTGGGTGAGTCAGGTCCTTGGAGATCCTTTAAGAGAAACTCTACTGTAAGTTGCAAGCTGGAGTTCAGTCCCTGGCACCCACCCTAAACACTACGCAGCACCTAGAGATGGTATGTATGCAGGGAACAAGGGAACAATAGGGGTTTCTGT